CTTGCAGGCAAATGATATTTCTTGCAGATATTCCAATGCACCATTGTTGCTACTTTGTCATACCATTGTTTGTAGTCGGTCTGTGTGATCTTCTTGCAGCAAACTAAGCGGTCCACTGTTTCTTCAGCTTCTTTGCAGAGGCGGCATTTGCTGTCTTCTCAATTCTGGCTTTATATGCATTATTATTATTATAAATATATTGGCTGCCCAACTCCAATGGACTCTGGGCAGTATACAAAACTAGAAAAAACACATACGAACAGCTAAAAACGCTAGTAATAGTAAAATGCTAATCAAGGTAAAATTTCCACACCTGACAGTGCCTGTCGCCCATTATTCCATAGTCCCCACAATACTCCTGGAATGCCTTTAACAAAGGAATTTTCCATCCCTACCTACATCAACTGCCTATTGCTATTATACCTACTTCAAAACACTACTCACCTATTTGTCTGGCAGAGTGAAATAGTGCCCTTAAATCTCCATGTAGAGATTGCTGCTGTTCCTTGGGTGAGTTTTCTTCAACAAATGTTACTATTTTCTTCCAAGTGAGATCCGAATTCCACCGCTGTTCTTGTAACTTGGATCTTTTATCCTGAACACAATAATTCATAGTCAATAGAGCTCTTCTTTGAACCCACTGATCTTCACTTAAGTAAAGCAATAGGTGCATGTTTTCCCCATACTTCATAATTTAGTGTACACCCTGTTATGTTTCTTAGTAAAAATGAAAAGTATCTATGCAAAGGCTTGCATTCATATGTTAAAGGCAACAGTATCATCATTTGAATCACTTAGAATAAGATAAAACCTGAAAATTTAGAAACAGAATTGCACTCTCTCTTTAACAAAAAGATCCAATGCACTCATCCCATATAAAATATCTGTCTCATAAATGTAATTGACAATGACATTAATAGGAAATCTTTTCCTCACACAAGAAACAATTTATCAAATTATCTTATATGCAACAGATCCAAGCACCATTTTTTGAGAGGAACCTGTTTTATTTCCCATATTATGCAGGACAAATTCAAACCCTATGAAACCCACCCCCCTCAAAAAAAATCTTGAAAGTATGGTAGTTATAATAACTACAGAATGTCTGCCTTACATCTATGTAACTAAGTTGTGAAGAGGCCTATGAGCTCACTTAATTCTGCTGCCGCTTAACATCTGATGCCTTTGTTTCAAGATATCCAGGGAGAAGTATGTAATGTATGTTGTGAACAAATTGATTTTTTAAGAGTTTATAAAAGAGAGAATATAGGAGAGTTATGAAGATGCTTGCATTTCCTGCTACTATAACTACCACATGATAAAAGTGCTGAGAAAAGGCCTGAAACCAGAGCTATGCCCTTTGTTACATAAATATGATAGAGAAAGAAAGAGAGGGACACTATAAACTAAAATAGGCCATCTTTCCTTTTAAAAGTGAAAAGCTTAGGGTTGCCTACCATCTGATCTATTCCCTACTTTTCCAGATTCAAATGCAGGACAATAGCTTCCATTCTACGTTTAAATAGGAAAGGATTAATAACTTGTCCCAACAGATTTCTTCATATTTTTTCCCTTCCCATCATGAGAAAAGGTAGAACTGGTCATTTATTAATCAAACTCCTACCTCACCCCCACAATTGCAACTTCCAGTGACATTTTTCAGTTTTAGTTCTTCCTTTCCTACCCTCAGTAGGCTTTTCCATTCCACCACTGTCCTTTCCTTATTACTGTATGCTTTTCAATTCTTCCAAAAGACAAGGCTCCAAAGGAAATAGAACATGAACACATACAAACGTATCAGCACAAATACAACCTCATTATGGGCCTTTCGATCTAATGCCGTACCAGTTATAGTGAAAGCAGCGGCAGCTGGAAGAGCTGTACATCCAGATTATTAAATATAACAACTATTCGAACTTGTCTTTGACATCCGTCAAGAGATTATTTAAGAAAAATGCATTAAAGTGCTGTACAGTATGTTCCTTCAATTTATGCTATATTAGTTGTTGCCGATGCTTGTTCCAGTGAATGGATTCTCTTTTAATGGCTCATTTAGCTGAAAGTGCACTATTTCAAATGACATGGAAAGAAAGGGCCAAATTGCTTCTCTAGTTATAGTGATAAAAAAAAAAACCCACTGGAATAAAAAGTAAAATCAGTAGAGTTACTCTGAGTTATACTGGCATGATGGAAAACAGGATCATCCTGAAGAGCTTGGATATGTGTAGGTGTTGATAGCACCTTAGTATCAAATTGAGAGGTGCCATTTTTTTTCAGTTTAATTTCCTGAGAAGGGAGACGTAACTGGCTAGTAGCATTTTTCTTTTTTCTTTTCTTTTTTCTTTTCTTTTTTTTGTATTTAAAGTGACAACACTACTCTCCTTCGCTTTTTGTTTCATGAATATCTGCAGTTGGAGAGAAGTTTAAGTTTTCTATTTTACAAAAAGACAAGCAGCAGAATTTCTGCACTCATAAAAAAGAAAAAAAAACTAATACACCAACACAACTAATAATTAGACTTTGGAGCAAAGCACAAAGAAAAGTGAAAAATTAATCTAGCAATTCCCTAATTATTATATCAACAGTTTCTCATAAAGCCACTGAGAACTTTGCTTACAGAATAACAGTAACATAAAAACATGTAGTAAAACCTCAATTTAATGTATCCTCATTCAGTGAACTTTAGAAGGAACTGATATTTTAGTTCAGAAGTAATCTCTAAGAAACAAAGTCTGCTGTTTCTGAAGCTCTTCATACTGATGTAATTTGCATTATTGCCCATATACCCATATAATATTCCACAAATTTACATAATTACAATTACACTAATGACTTAATTATAACAATTATGCAATTACACTTACTTATGCGTATGCAATTACATACACTTATGAAATGACATACAATTAATCTATGAAATCCAGGTCCTATAATACAACAGATACCAAGTTTTTGATCAATTTGTTGGATACTGGCACCAACCCGTCCCCTAAAATGCCCCATTGTTGCCAACAAGAGGAAACTTACTCTTGAATATATGGAATTTAACTAGAAAAAACCGCTAGCACAACATAGGGAAGAGACTCATACTTTGTGATGCTATTGACATTAACAAGTATACATTTTAAATCAATCAACATGTTAAAATCCTTCTTGTGCTTAACCTTTATTCAAATAACTTACTGTTAGGTCAGCAGATTCTTGACTATAATCATCTTGTTTAGTGACATTTGAAAAGGAACGAAGCGCTCCTGTTAAGCGAGGAAGGGCCATTTATTATCCATTCAGTGATCCATAGGAAGATACATTAAATTCATTTCCAACTTGTAAAGTCCTGATAATGAACAATAAGATCAAATTAAGTTTTGGTAATGACTTAAGGGTAAAACAGAACAATTATTTGAATGACTCAAACACTGCTATACAGTAGGCTTTTCTATAAGTAGGCATTCAAGGTGACAGTATTTTCTATTTTCAAACACAGTATAGCATTACCAGCTCAAACAAACAGAAACAGGCCAATATGGACTGGAAAGAAAAAATCAATATAATGAAGCAGTTTATTTTTTTTTCCTCTCCACAATATGTAATTTAAATAGTCAGCAGGACTGATATAAGTTTTCCCTTTTCTGACAACTTTAAACAATACTCTGTGTCTAATACTCTTCTATTTGATAACTCTTGAACCTAATTTCTAGTGGAGCTGATTTCTTCCTTCATTACAATATTTCTCAAATTTGATAATGTTATTTTCAGGGGTTTCAGTATAGCCTTCCCATCTTTCTGTAACCTCACTTGCTTCTATTAAATTTCTTCCATGATTACCCCAGACTAGTTGTACCTTAACTGTCAATTGTCCTGTGCTTTCTGATTTTCTTACAAACATCTCTATTTTGTCCCTTTTCTTATTATTCTCCTCTATTTGTTGAGATTCTTGGCTAAGATACCTTTCCTTATTCATTCTTGCTGGATGATGAAAGCCTGCATTCAGTTATCAAACAGCCTTTCTGCTCCTTGAGGCTTTCATCAACTATCTTTCCTTTGCTATCAATATAAAGCTTGGGCATTACAGTTCTGTTTTCAGTGTCTCTTGTCTCTTCCCATAACTCCTCATATTCTATTTCACATGTTCTGAATCTGTTCCTTATAGCAATCTTATATTCCAGTTATATGGTTTCTAGGCCAAATCATGCTAGCACATTTGACCCAATAATTTATGCTTGGAATCGGAATCTGTAGCTGGAGGTATTATGGCTCACTAAAATGTATTTCTCCATCTTCTGCTTCCTGTTATGTAGTATGGAATCTGAATGTATGTTATCTGAAGCAAACACTGCCAATCATGTTATTGTTTCTTAATATATGTACATCTACTAATTAAGAGAGAAATCAGATATTCTTTGAGAAAGGAAAGAAATATTTGGCATTTTATACTATATCAGTAACTAGGTCATATTTATTAATAACTAAATGTATTTCCTTGGGGACATTACGTACCTTTGAGTAGGCCTCACTGAATAGGGTTTAGTTCTGAGACATATAAGAAAGCATTGTTAACATCTGGATCATTATATAAGAAGTGCAGCAACACTGTCTAAGGCAAGACATATTTACAAGTTATTTAAAAAACCAGATGAGTTTTACAGAGGGAACTGTCCCAACTGATAGCTCACTAACAAATTTCAGAACAATAATTAATGATATCACAGTCTATAATTAATTCATCCCCCTCCTATAAAAAGAAACAGAGAGGAAGAATAGCTTTTGATGTTCCGGTACAGATGTTGCCAAAGACTGACATCATAAAGTACTCATCACATCCTGCAATGCTTGGTAGCAACTTAAAAGGAATATAACCCTCATTTAAAAAAAAAAATCAATCCATTACTCTTTCAAGTAAAAACAAAAATAGTGGTAGAGAGAAAAAACACTGACCCAGTGCAAATGTAGTATCATTCAGAAACTACATTAGGTACAAATGGAATTCAGGCTAAGGAATGCATACTGCATCTCTCCTTTGATGCAAGGTTTTGATTTCTTCATAGGTTGACTTAACACATTGTGTTAAGCTATAATGTGTTATGGGAGTTAATTTTGGTTTAACCTGTGATATGAATTCATTCCTTCTTTATAAATCATGCTATATGACTTATACTTTCAGTCCAACCAACCATGACTTATTCAACAAGCTGCTATAAAAATTCCATAGCTTAACATGGTGTGAGTATTCGGATTCTGGCAGTATATAAATGTGAGAAATAAACACAGTCTTATTCCTAGTACCTTCAGATTAAACATAGTTTCTATTTTCCTTGCCCTATAAGATGATTCTGTAACCATCATTCAAGGCATAGTTTACTTTATCACATCCTGGTTATCTACTGGACTATCTTTCTCCTGTTGTTTCTGTCCAACTAGTAAGATCTGGAAGAGATGGTTCACTCTAGGTCCTAGCTGTAAAGCATTGCCAGCTTCTCAGTAGCTGGGGTACTCAGCATACCCCAAAATCAGTATGGCCCCAACCTTCTTTGGCTTCCATAAAGCCATAAAAACCTGGCTCACTCTTATTCATCCTGATGTAGGATTAAGTGTCTATTCTCCAATGGTAGTTTGGCAAGGGAGAATATGTTTGCGCTGTTATCCTCCCCAATATGTTCCATATACTCTTTGGCAATTATGTTTTGTATGCTTTTACTTGTGATTTATTTGAAGTCTAGTCCTATTGCATAAGCCATCTAGAGTCATTCTGTGATTGAGGCAGCATACAAATTGATAAATACTGTTTAAATTAACTAGTCAGCTTTTTGTAATTTAATTCTGGACAAATTATTATGACTAATGATGAAATAAATAATTTATGCTATACAGAAAAAAAAAGAAGACAACAAAAATATGCATTTTCAGTTTACAGTGTCGGCTTCAGAAATTCATCATTACATTTCAGGGGGCCAATGATGGAAAGGAAACTTTAACGATTTGAAATAGTAAACCTAGCTCACACATTTTGCTAATTCAAAGCCAACACACCATCTTAGCATATGAATCTAGAAATTGACTTTACCTGCATAAACATCTACATTGGTAGGCCCTTACTGTGTTAGAAACAACATCAAACATGCAATATGATGTTGGTTTTGTTTATTCCTTTCACCTTAAACCAATGCTTGCAGCAAGTTATTCATGCTGATAAATGGATTTTGTTTTAAACATGATTTAAGGGGCTGTAAATCCTAATAAACAACCTGCAAAAAAGTCTTGTAATGTGTTTAGATATAAGGGTATACCAAATAAATATACTATTTTTTAAAAAAAATTATCAGTACCATGGTCAAAGAGAGATTTGGCTTTCCTAAAATTTACCATGATCAGTACCATGGTCAAGAGGATTGTTTTTATTAGAGTGTTTTAACAGAGTAGGACCCAACTCTACAGGCCTTTAAGAAGGCAGTTAAGACCTGTCTGGAGGCTTTGGGGTCAGGTTGAACCCAAAGTGGGTGAGTTGCAGAAGTTTTCAGTTCTGCTTGTGATTTTAGTGTTTAGCATGTTTTAATGAGCTATGTCAATTTGTATTAATTATGTTTTCCTTTTTTGTCTTTTTGTACACCACCCAGATTCACATAGTTTGAGTTGCGTAGACATATAAATGCCTGAATAAATTATTAAAATAAATGGTTAATGCCAACCTAAACATCACATTAAACAATGGCCTAATAAAACATGAATGAGCTTGGCCTCCCCCTGAATGCAGTGGCTTCTCCTCTCTTCTCGAGAGAATAATCTACCAAGTTAATGGTGACAGAAGAACTCTTCTCTAGCTTTCTTATTGCTCTGAATTTCACAGTATAAAGTCACTGTCTTACAGCTGATGATGTATGGATGAAAACTGAAAATTACCTCATGCAATTTAATATAATTTGCCCCGTAAATTTTTCCATTTTCTAGAAAACCCACAGCACTACTTATAGCACTACTGAAAGTTACAGAAGCTTTTGATACTGCTGCAGAGGAAAAGTTCCTTAAAACCACTAATTAAAAATATTTTAATAAAATGTGTTATTCTGAAAAGGTGCTACCAGAGTTCTTTTAATTTTAGGCTATGACAGATTAACATGGCTGTCCTCCCACAATGTGAATAAGCAAGTGACTGTATTATAAAGGCTATTCTGAGAGGTTTAGATCTCTTTCTGGTGCATAAAAGAACCCAGATAAGGTCAGGGGGTTGCTGCCATCCGCTGAAATATATACATTTCTTTTCAAAAAGCGGCACAGTATCTTTTAATTGGCAGAACTGGTAGCCTGTACCTGGAAGCCTCTGTCCAAGCTAATGAGGCATAAATTTCAAAGTCTACTCATTTCAGCTCTTTGGGATATATGAGACCAGACAATCAACTTCACAGGAAGAGTAGGACTATACTTTATTCAGACAGGCTGTAATAACAGAACCTTGCAACCCTGACTGTGCTTTACCTCCCCTCCCTCTTATATCCTAGTGAATCAGAAAGTATTTGGAAGTGTCTCAGGCAAACACCTATCTTGTTTCCCAGGAAATAAGGAATGTTTCCATCCTCCCTCTTTGCTTACGTAATGGCTCTTGTCTATTGCCCTCAAGGTCATCTCCCTGATTTTCTACAACTCAGCATATTCTTTTAATCCTCTAAGGGGCACTGACAGCCCATAAAAGATCCTCAGTGATGAGACTATGCACTTTCCTTTTGGAACAAGACTCATGAGACCAGCAGGCCTTGCTTCCATATCAGCGTAAGCCTGGGATAGGCGGCTGTGATTCTAACCAAGAGCAACGTCCTTTTTCCATCAGCCGAGCATGAACTTCCAGGACACCGCTAGTACCAAGTAAGACTTCTATCAGCTCTTTAGAACTGCGGGCAGCTCACGACCCCCTCTCCCCCAAAATTGTAAGACCCCATGCCTACGCCTTCGAGACTAGGCTGCATGAGTTCAGCGGGGCTTAACTCCGCCAAGGAATCTTATCTAGAAACAGGCTACAAGGGGACGGAGTAATGGAAGCTCAGGACCGCCCGAGCGAAAAAGCTGGAGCTTCTTTTCTCACTGGCAACGGCAGCAATGCCCTTAATGGGGCGCCAGCATTCACAGCTGTGGGATAGATAAAACACGCCACGAGCCTCGAGTCATCGCTCACTTTCGCTTACATCTCTCGATGGAGGAGATCGGGAAGCCCTGGAGCCCAAAGAAGGGCCCCGAATTACCTGCTCCGCTTACCTGCTCGGCTTCCCCGCGGGCCGGCCACGCTGCCACTCCGACTGTCCCTCCCCCTCCGAAGGGCTGCGCCTGCCTTCACTATTTCGACTCAGCCGCTTCCGGGTTTTTCTCCAGGCGCAGGCGCGGCCCTCCCCTTCCGCTGGTTTCGCCGGCTAAGCCGATCGGGCGGGGCCGCCGGCCCTACGGAGCTCTCGGGAGCCCAATGACGCTCCAGGCGCGAGGACAGCGCGTGAACGTTCTTCCTGGTGGAGCGCGGCGCCCCACCCCCTTGGAGAAACTGCGACTTTCTCTTTCGTTTCCTTGAGCGATCTCGTTTGGGAGAGAGCGTGGCACGTCATCATCAACTGGGTGAAGTCTAAGAGTGGCAGTTCGCTGGTTGACAGAAAGACTTCCGGTTTGCGTTGGAAGTCTCCCCCCCCCGTGGCTTGCGGGCTAAAATTGGCGCCCCGCCCATAAATCCCGGAAAAGTGCAAAAATTTAAAAGAGCGCTGCTGTTCTCTCCCCACTTCCTGCAAATTCAGCCAGATTTGGAGGAGCAGGAGTGAAGCAAATTGGAGCATTCAAGAACTTTCTTCAGCGGTTTGTTCCCAGCAGTTCGCATGTGGCTTACAGTTCCAAGCCCCTTTCCCTGCTAATATTGTACATAACACTATTAACTTGAATAAGGTCTGGGTAGACCGGCTTCAGATTATCAGTGGCATGCCGAGGTTGAAGTCGGCATATCCATGTATTTAACTGACGACTGTCAATTGCCTTTGGGTGAGAAGGAACTGAAAGCTAAAAAGGAGAAAGGAAGGCTTGAGTTTCTCAGCTGGCTGGCAAGCCACTCCAAGAGGCCGACTCTGCTGTTGCTTTGGCGGAGCCATGCCGCTGGAAAGGGAAAACTAAACGTTATGGGCATGTTCGTAAAAAGGTTTCCACTCCAAGTCTCCATTATTTTCCCAAAGCCGCTCCAACAAGTCCGACTATTCGGGAAAACGAGAATGAGACCAGCCTTTCCAACGTTTTGCCCTACCGATGAAGCTGGGCTGACTAGGGATTTGTAGTCCAGCACACCTAAATCCTTCTCAAAGGGAGAAACTAAACGAGAGAGTTTCCTTAATTCTCAGAAACCCAGCGGAGGGTTGGGTCCAAGACTTGCGACGTTGCTGCCATCTTACACCGATCAGTCTCTGATGTCTCAGATATGGTCGGAGCTGATAGCGTCAATAAGTAAGGCCACTCTGTCAGATCTGCTTCTTCTCGCAGACACCGATCTTTCTAGGGCAGCGCCTGTCCTGGTCATCTGTGATTCATTTTATACGGGGCTTGCTCTGAAGACAAGGCAGTGACTTGATGGGGCTCTCAGAGGCTGCCTGTTGCTTCAAGGTTTTGCTAACTTCAGATAAAGCCCTTTACGGAGCATGCGGGAGTTAGGAGTTTCTCAAAAGTGAGACCGAGACTAGAAAGATCTTTCCTTGATGAGGTTAGGCAAGCTCTGGCAGTTGGTCATTTAAACACCTCTGCAAGGCTTTGAACAAATAGGCAGGTGTTTCATATTAAGCTTTGAACATTTAATTGTTGGACTTCGTTATTTTAGGATTCTCTTTAAACTGAACAGCCTAGATCAGTGCTTCTTAAAATTTTCTACAGTTCTGGACGACTAAATTAATAATAATAAAATACAGAGACTACCCAATTCACGCCCGCCCCCCATATTTTCAACTTTGAAAGTGTGGGAATTCCCAATTTTCAATGAATAAAAGAATGATTAATGTGGCACTGGAGTATGACTTCCCATTCACTGCATTTTTAAAATCCCATCTGAACTAAATGTTATGCCAAAATGTTTAACCTAAAATTAAGTGTTTATTTACCCCTTGAGCCAGGGGCTGTATTGGAGGATGGGCTTTGGCCAGATGTCTCTTGGTGCATGCAGTGATGTGGGGAATGTTAAGAGTCCCCTCACTGCCTCAGCCCCACCTCCCCAGCGTTCAGCAGTCAATCCCCAGTTGATTGTGAATGCACAGAATGGGCTTTGGCTGGTATATGTGGAGCCTGCAGTGGCCCATTTGGTAGACTTCTGGACTCCCAATAGATCATGGGCCACATTTTGAGAATCACTGGCTTTGATCCTTATGGGATTGAGCAATAAATAAATAAAGGCTGATATGACTTTGTGTACAGTATCTAATTAGGTTATCATGAATTAAGCTTTCCATTAATCAATGATTAAATTATTAAATACAGTAAAATAGGGCTTTCCCCCTCTTTCCTTCCTTGAAATTGTTTTGGAGGGAACTCCATTTTGAAAATCATAAGGATAGTAATAAATTACCCTTCTGATTCTTCCCACATGTTCACCTAGCTTGATCTTGACCAATGTCTTCTCTTTGTCTACATTCTTAAATGGATTTTATATAACTTGAAACTACATTTCTCACAACTTTTTTTCTTTAATTTTCACAGTTTTGCATACTGTTTTAGCCATGATACTCTGTTGGGTGACAGGATGCTGTCCAAACTTTTGAATCTCCAACTCAAGACAAAAATATATGTGACAAAGGTAGTTGTATTAGGAAGGGTAAAGCAAGCAGATAATGCTTACTACACAGGCTTTTCTTTAACAGGTTAAATTTATTAGAGTTTAGTGTCATGCCTACTATTGCTTGACATCCATCAATTGTCACCACTACAGTTGGCCTGCATTTTATTTCTTCTGTCTTTATATGTATGTATGTGTGTGTATATGTTAATGTTTGAAAAATATTATAAGGGCTTACTAGTGTCCTCTCTTAGCCTAGGAGATCTGTGTAATTACAGCTCAGTCTGAAGGATTCCATTTCTGGCAAAAATGGTTAGGAAGATGTTGGACTCCCATTGCCAGATGCATTGGGAGGATACTGATTGTTTGGACCTGTGTTGTACAAACAGTAAATGCAGAGGAAGCAGCCACCAGTGCCTAGGCTCTTCTTTGCCCCACTCCTTGCCATGTTTGTACTCTGGATGGAAGGTGAAAGTAACAGTTGAGCAGAAAGGGAAAACAGGATGACTGAGAAGATGAGGCTCAGGACTGCTGTTACTGGTGCAGCAGAGAGGAAGCAGTTGTGTCATCCTACACCTCCTTTTTTCCCAGCCAGAAAGCTGAAGAAGGAGGGTGATGGGCTGCATCCAATCCTCAGGCCAGAGATTCCCTACTGTTCCTTTAAAGAGACAGGCTATGGTGACAGAATTTTAAAAGTTTATCTTTCTTTCTCTTCCTTTCTCAGGCTTAAAGCATGTTTTGCTAACTACCTCATTCCTTCCCCAAGATCACCTCTGTGATTCTCTACAGTATCCTACTCCTCTGGAGGTCAGTGGTCTTTAAATAAGACATCAGGTCTTCTCAGTAATACCCACACTTTGGAAAACGCTGCCTCCAGAAACATGACTCGCCTTGACTTTCCTTTCATTCAGGATTGCCCCAAAGGCTTCTACTTCAGTGGGCCATTGGCCCATAGCATATCTGTTCTAGTGACTGTATTATGTTTTCCCTTTTCTGTGTTTTTGGTGCATCCTGCCCAGAGTTCTAGTGATTGGGGTGGCACACAAAATCTGTAAAATAAATGAATAATAAAAATATTGCCACAACGTGGGTTGGAAGACAGGGAGGTTGTAAACCCTAACTGTTACTAAACTACCTGTCCTATTCACTAGTTGTTGTTGTTGTTATGGTGCCTTTGAGTCAGTGTTAGACTAGTCCCTGCAGTTTTCTTGGTAAGATTTTTGGAAGTGGCTTTGTGAGACTAGGCTGAAGCTGCCATAACTAAAGATGAAGCAGGCACATAAGCAGAGAGGGCAAAAAGCCAAGAATCTGGGGGTCCTCCTGGACTCACAACTACTGCTTGAGGAGCTGGTGGTAGTTGTGGTCTGGAAAGGCCTTTGCTTAACTTTGGGTTGTGTGCCAGTTATGCCTTTTCCTGGATTGGGAAGCCCTCCAGTGAGCCACTCATGCCCTAGTCATCTTCTGTATAGACTGTTGCAATGTGCTCTACATGGAGCTACCCTTGAAGAGTATCCAGAAGTTACAGCTGGTTCAAAATGGGCCGCACGGGCAATTTTGGGTGCCTCAAGGATGGCACATGTAACACTTTTGCTGCAGAAACTGCACTGGGTGCCAATTTGCTTCCGGGTCCAATTCAAGGTGTTGGTTATCACCTTTAAAGCCCTACATGGCATGGGACCAGGCTACCTGAGGGACTGTCTCATCCCCATTACATCGACCCATCCCACCTGGTCAGGCAGAGGAGGTATGTTATGGACCCCGTCTATGAAAGAATGTCGACTGGCAGGGTCCAGGAAGAGAGCCTTCTCTGCCATTGCCCCTGCCCTATGGAACACTCTTCCCCAACAGGTAAGGTGGGCCCCCACTCTCCCGGCCTTCTGGAAAGGGGTGAAGACCTGGCTCTGCCAACTTGCATGAGGAGGGGTAGCCAACCCTGTGAGTGGCTGGCATTCTGAAGATGCTCTCGTAGATTAATAACCTTTATTTACCATCAGTGCCTTGGAAGACATTATTTATTTATGAGCATTGTTTCATTGTAGTTTAATCAGTATTTATTCTTGTTTTATTGTAAACTGCCCAGAATCGCTCTTTGAGTGAGACGGGCAGTGACTAAATTTGAAATATAAAGAAAGTCTAAATGTCTTGTCTAAAAGATCCTTTTGGGAAGGTAGATAAGAAGAAAACAAGTCATTAAGGAAACAAAGGAAAAAATGTCACCTGAACCAGACAAAGGAAGTTGGGCCTGAGCGCATGGAACTACTCCCCGCCATCCCATCAACAGCTACCAGACTTGTAAATTAACAAGGCAAGAATATCTGCCAGTCTTGTGAATCAGCAAAGCAAGGACTTTGGGGGATAAAATGGGTCCTGAAGCTCGCCCACTCCTTGAGTTGTCTTTGGATCCAGATTTGGCGGCTTCTGTCCCTCTAGCTAGTGCCTGGCAACCTAGTTGAGAAGAATGTGGGTAAGTGTGGATGAGCACGTGTGTGTGTGTGTGTATGAGAATGAGCAAGTGTACATTGTAACCAGTAAAGTTTTGCTGTTACTTTAAATCCACTGCGTCTCCATGTATTCCAAAG